ATATATTTTTTTTTTTTGGCACTGGGGATCAAACTCAGGTCCTTGCGCTTGCAAGGCAGGTGGGGGAACCACTGAGCTAAATTCTCGGCCCCATTATATTGTTTTTTAATACCTTTTTGCATTCTTAAATATGTGATAATAACAATTTTGGAAAACATTACCAAAAATGCTACAGGTGGATTAAGACTGACTCAATCCATGTCTTATTTATCCAAAAATTTATGGCCAAAAACCCACCATGTAGGGTGTTGCCCAAATCACCAATCCAAAGACCCATATTTTTCTTTTTAGTTCTCTTGTTACATGCCTTTCTGTTCAACAGGAGGAAAAAAATGTACTTCTTTATAATTGCATACATTTTAAAATGTAATTTATAATATTTTTATGAACTAGGGGGAGGATTGATTGGAAGAAAAGGCTACATAGGCACACTGGGGAAAAATGACACGATGATGTGTGCAGTGTATGGATGGACTGAAGAGATGGCTTTTTCTGGAACATCTGCAGGAGATGTGTGTATCTGGAGAGACGTCTTTCTCGTAAAAACAGTTAAAGCACATGATGGGCCAGTGTTCAGTATGCATGCATTGGAAAAAGTAAGTAACCTAAAGAGATTTTTAAATTAAATATAATCTGATTGTGGAATATAGAACAATTTTAGAAATAAAGGAACATTACCTTCTCCTTGGTTTAGCTGCCCAGTTATATGGTAGGCTGGCTTTTTCTTGGGGTTTGCTTTCCTCCTTTCTTCAAACTCCTGAACACAGAATGATGTAGATCTGATGTGTAAAAACAGTTTAATACTTACTGAGTACTTATTATGTGTGAGAAATTATGCTGTTGTATTACATTTAATCACCATATGCTATTGGGAAAGTACCATTATTATCCTCTTTTAAAAGATTAAGAAGACTCCAGGAATCTGGGCATGGTAATGGACACCTGTAATCCTAGCACTCAGGAAGCTGAGGCAGGAGGATTTTGAGTTCAAGACCAACCTGAGCTACATAGTGATTTCAAGGCCAGACTGGACTACATAGCAAAACCTTGTCACAAACAAAACATATAAAGAAGACTCCAAGAAAAGTTATATGTATAACTTGCTACAAGTGGGGAGATCTGACTCATGGTTCCAAATTAGAAACGGTGTTTTTAACATCTTAGGCTTAAAGAATGTATACTATCATTGTAAATATTTTTTCTGATTTTGTGTTGGTGTTTTAAAAGTCATAATGTAGGCTAATTCCTGTTACTTACAAATTGACCTTTGTCTATGTCTTTCCTCTAGAGTTTTTCAATATAAAGTTATTATTTTTAATATATTTACATTTTTTTAACTGGAATCTTTCATTTTCATAGGGATTTGTAACTGGAGGAAAAGATGGTATAGTAGCTCTTTGGGATGACTCCTTTGAACGATGTCTCAAGACCTATGCTATAAAAAGAGCCTCTTTGGCCCCAGGATCTAAAGGTGATTTGAGATTCAGTTTCTTTTGTAGAAAAATAGGATTAATATGCTTGATTACTGAGATGGAATACATGGTTACATTTTTTCCTTCTTTACTTGATGGACATCACAGTTAAGTGGGAGAAGTCACTTAATTTGATTCCACAATCATTAATGTCCTTACAGAAATCTATTTTCTGTGATATACATGATAAAATATTAGCCAAGAGCAGTATTATTCATATTAATTTTAACATATGTGGTTTTGTTAGAAAATTTTCAAGTGAGCATCATATTTATCACCAATCAGGAATTTATTTTCAGACTCAGCATTTTTTTCACTTCGGTGTTTTGTTCCTCCTGTCTCTGTAGCCTCTAGGCCCTTCTTCTCTTTGCCTTTCACTACACTTCTTCCTTAAAGCACTGTGCTGTATACTTTCTCACCTCCAAGCCTTTCTCCATGCCTAGCACTGTTGCCTAGAATTTGTTCTTCTCTCCTCCTGCCTACTCCATTTACCTGGCCACATGCCAAGTTTTTAAGTCTCAAACACTATCTTATCCTTTCCCTCCCCAGAAAAGGATAAAACCCCTTGGCATATGCTCCTTTTCCAAGTCACTCCTCACAAGAGGTCACTGTGTGCTCTGTAAGGGACAGAAACTGGGTCTGTATCATGTTTACTAATACATCACCGAAGTCTGTTTAGAATATTGTTCAGTACTCTAAGAGGAGCAGGAAGTGGATAAGGAGGGACTAATCTAAGTGGTAAAGAAGTAGTTGTCAGGGGCGGGGATTTAGCTCAGTGGTTTCCCAGCTTGCTGTGCAAGCCCAAGGACCCGAGTTCGATCCCCAGTACCAAAAAAAAAAAAAGAAGTAGCAGTTGTCCAAATGGTAGTAGGGAATCTGGGATGGAATGGAATTCTATACAAGTGTGCTTATTTTTCAGATTAATAACTAATTGAGGGAGATTCAGTGCATTATAATACTTAAGATACAGAGGAAAACCTTGTAATGTGATTTCATTGTCAAAATAGCATGATTGGCAATATATATATATATATATATATCCTTGTATTACAGTAACTTCATATCTCCAAGAATATCTCCATTTAACATTTCAGGTCTTCTCTTGGAAGATAACCCATCTATACGTGCCATATCACTGGGACATGGTCATATTTTAGTTGGCACAAAGAATGGTGAAATACTAGAAGTGGATAAAAGTGGTCCAATAACACTTCTAGTCCAGGTATTTTAAATACTAAAATGCTTTTATTTTTACTTTGCATACAATTTGTTCTTTTAGTACATAAGAGGCAAAAGTTGACAGTGGTAAAAAAATAATGTTTAAGGAAATATTTGTTAATGTAATATATACAGAAAAAATTACATATAGCTATACACTAGATACAAATTAATAAATATGCATATTTTCACAAAGAATAATTGCCAATATTTGAGTAAATGCCTATCACAAAATAAGAGTCCAGTGGAAGGAAAAACTAGTTGAAGTTAATTTATCTCAGCAGTTTATTTCATATTCAGTTTTATTTATTTGAAATATGTTTGTTGAACCTTTCTGTGAAACTCTTCAGGTAAGTCATTCTTAAGTTTCTAACTTACAAAAATTTTTTTTAAATGAGTACTGAAAATATTTAGCAGCTAAAAGGTGTTAGTAAATACCAAAAATTCAGAAATATGAAAGAATTTTGTGGTAGAAACGTGAATTGAAAGAGCAGGAGTAGGTTCTGGTCACTTAGTTCTTAACATTTCCATCAAGAATGATGTATTAAATTTTTAGATGCACATTTCTGCAGTGTATTATATTTTTCTGAAAAGTATGGAGGAAGATTAGTCAGATGCTATGAAACAGTTAAGTGTGAGGTAGGATTTATCCTGAAGAAAACTTGTCCTCATGCAGTTATTTTTTTCTTAATACAGACTTACTTCCCTTCCAATCCCTACTTTGAAGGATACCAAAGTGTATATGTAGATCTGAACACTGTACATGCACAATGCTCTATTATCAATATTACAGTATTCTGACATATTGAGCAGATTATGTAAATAACAAAACATTGTGTTAAAGTAATGGTGTCTTACTGATCTCAGTAACATAATACACCTTTGAAATAAAGAGATGATGAAATTTAATGTGTTTACAATCTCTTGGAAAATGAATGGATGATGAAAATAAAGAGATGATGGTGTTTAATGTATTTACAGTCTCTTGGAAAATATTAACATAGTACTCTTTTACAGTTGAATCCAGAGGTGGAATTATTAAAAATCACAGACAGTTTCATAATTGTGAGAAAATATTTGGAAATTATAAATGACATCTGTTAAGAGAAAAACTTTAGACGAAATACACTTAACAGAGTTTATTTGAGCATTGAAATATTCATGAATTGAGCAACACTCAACACCACCCAGGTTCAGGGAAATCTGCAGCAGCATGGGCAGTGAGCGGAATGTGGAAGACAAGATCTTTGATTGGTTAGAGTGAAAAAAGCCATAATTAGAGATTAGTTGGCCATTTCTGATTGGTAAATTATAAGTATCTAACTTCATTTTACTATTTATTTTGGACTTCAGTTTCCTTACACAAAAATGTAAAGCACAGGAGCTGTCTCAGCCTAATGACCTCCCAAGTAAAATTGTTATTAAAACATCTTTGTGTGTGTGTGTGTGTGTGTGTGTGTGTGTGTGTGTGTTTATGTTTATGATGCTGGGGATTGAACCCAAAGCTTTAGCTTCATGCTGCCTCTAACCCCTGGCCAGTTCTTCCTTTTTGTTTTTTTTTTTTTTTGCTTTTACGGTTTTTTGAGACAGGATCTTGCTATGTGGTTTAGGCTGGCCTTGAACACTATGTAGCTCAGGCTGGCCTCAAAATCAAAGCAGTCCTCCTGCCTCAGCCTCAACCTCCAGTGTGCTGGAATTATAGGCGTGTGCCACCATCCTCTTATTTTTTTATAGTCATTATAAGTTTAAGATTTCAGTGTTTTTAAATCACCTTGACACCAGGAACAAGGCAAGGATACCAGGTCTCACCATTATCATTCAACCTTGTGGGTGAAACCTTAGCCAGTCAAGTTAAAAAATCAACAAAAGATGTAACCATTGGAAGTAAATGGACACCAGTGGTATTTCCATATATAACAACCTTATACTATACCTTGGATAACAAGAGAATAAACTGAAAAATTATTAACTAACTAAAAAGCCCTGTAATGTGATGAGCTACAAAAATCAACATATAAAAATCTATAGTATTTCTGTACAGCAGTAACAAGAGGTTGGAAAATACGATTTAAAAAATGCTACTCACACCAAAAAACTGTACAGCAACAAGGAATTTTATAATTAAAATATGCAATGTCTTTGGTAAGAAAACTGTAAGATTTTACTTAAAGACATGAAAGACCTAAATAAACTGATTTCAATGACAGTCCACCCTTAATGAGATTTTTCACAAATTTAGGAAAGATTTTTTTTTTAATTGTCTACAGGAGAATAAAAGGATAGCCAAAAGAAAAATATCTTTGAGAAAATCCACATGCTAGAAATAAAGATAATATAAAACTATAGTAATTAAAAATGTTAGTGTATATACTTAACAAATGTTATTATATATTTTCTTTTTTAAAAATACACAGCACTGTAGCATCATTATCTGTGGATCCATTTTGGGATACATCCTTACTGGATTACCCATGAGCATGGTGTAGCTCTCTAGATCTCTTTTTTCAGCAGGGTTTGGTGGTTTTCATTGTACAAGTCCTACACTTATTTTGTTAAATTGTAAGTCTTTTGTTCTTTTTGGTGCTTTTATAAATGGAATAGTTTGTTCTTTTTGGTGCTTTTATAAATGGAATAGTTTTATTAATTTTGTTTTCAGAGGGTTAATTGCTAGTATATATAACTATACAGTTGATTTTGTACATATCCTATAATAGAACCTCATGTCCTATAAACTTGCTGACCTCATTAGTTCTAATGGTTTTAAACTGTTTTCTTTTAGGATATCCTGTAGAAAAGATCATGTCATCTGTAAATAGAGATAATTTTACTTCCTCGTGTCCAATTTAGATGCCTGTTACTTCTTTTTCTCACCTAATTATCTTGACTAGAATTTTCAGTACAATGTTGAATAAGTTGTGAAAACAGACAGCCTTATAATAATTTGTTCCTAATCTAAGAGAGAAACCATTTGGCTAAATGTAATGTTAATTTGGGGTTTTCGTAGATGCTCTTTATTAGGTTAAGGAATTACCCTTTTATTCTTAGTTTAAGTGTTTTCTCATAAGTTCTTGATTGGGACGAGACTGTGTCTATTGAGAGGATCATGTGGTTTTTGTTTTTTATTATACTAATATTGGTATATTACATTGATTTTTGGATGTAACAATCTTGCATTCCTGAAAATGGTATATAATTTTTTTATATGTGTTGGATTCGATTTGTTTAATTTGTTTAATTTTTATTTGGGAAACTCTAAAGCTACATTTTAGGAAGAAAGACGATACTAGAAAAAAAGTCTGAGATGTAAGAAGAAAAAGCCTGATGAGCAAAGAAATGTATAAGTGGAGATAAACCTTATATCTGCATAAAATTATTAATTATTATGACTGCATAAGGCAATTAGTAATAATGCCAAGTGAAGGGGGCTATAGGAGAGAAAAAACAAAATTAAAATGCTGGGCACCAATAACTAAAAACGGGGGAAGCAGTGAGCAGAATTCAAGTGTTCAAGTAGTCTATGGATTGAGATTAACTTCAAAAAATTTTAAGTGTACATGTTAAATACTGAACAGTAATCCTAAAAGAGAATAGGCAGGCTATTTCTGAGATTCCCTGATTCCCCTGGATAAACTAGCTTTGCAATTTAGATTTATATGTCATATTACTCAACCAGTCTCTTCCCAGTTACTTTTCATTGCAACCTCCACTGTTTTTGAGAACACTCTTAGGCATGAAATTTTCCACACTCTACTGTAAGTAGAGATAATTTGTTTAACAGGAAATGAGGAGCTGTCTTTCTGGCTGCTTTTCCCTCTAGGTAAAATCTCTGCAAAGGACTGTGGAGTTGAAAGTAAGGGCAGTGGAATGTTTCTCTTGAGTGTTACAGGCTTTAAAAAACTGAGTGCTTTGTGGGGAAGAAGCAGCAGTAGTCTCAGGTCTTCTTGGGGTGCATTTCAGTGGTACTGCTTCCAAGGTTGACTTTCTCTGGAATAGGGATGGAGAAGAGGAGGAAGCATTTGCTTGTTAGCTGTTGTAGGGAACAGGGAAAGGGGATATTACCGGAACTCCTGCAGTGAGTCCTGGGCTCCTGTGAGCCAGGACAGCACAAGGCAAATTAATGAATAAAGACAGGAAACAAGACAGAGAAGAAGCTGAGCTTTGGACTTGATCAATGCTGCTCTGGGCAGCAAAGACAAAGGCACCCCAAGCTTGCCACACCTTTATTGGGTTCATCAGAAGTAACAGATGACTCAGGGTGGTGACAATCCTAGGACAATGAGGAACTTATGCTGATGAAGCTCCTAGATCGATGAGAAACTTATGTTGATTAGGAATTTGTCTCCTTTCCAGGTGAAGCCTTTCTCTTGCAATTTGGTTCTCAAGGAACTAGGATGTCTTCAGCTGATGTAATCCTGACCTACAGTGTCAGGACATCACGGGACCATTGAGGTTTTACCTGTGACCAGAGGCAAAAAATGGAGTTATGTCTCAACATGCCATAGCCGGCCTGTAGACAGGAAAACTAGACCTAATTGTAATTTAATTGTGAAATGATTTTCCCCCCAAATTATATAGAATTGCTCCCGACAAGCTGTATTCACAAAGATTTTAGACTTCATAAGGGGAAGCTGGGGGCAAGATGAGAAATCCTGGCAAAATAGCCCTCCAATTGGAAATTGGGGAGAGCCAACTGGCTCTAGTATGAAGTTTCCATTTGGATGAGTTTTGCTAAAAGGAAGAGGGACTGGATCTCAGTTAAAATATCATAGACTCACTGTGCTTACCAAATTTTAGCACATTTTCTACAATATATGTTACTTCATTTGCCTTATCTCCTTAAAAGCTTTTCCAGTGTTTAATTTTTTTCATCAGTTTCACAGGTGAGCAGGCCTGTGGAGCTCCTCATTGTGCCATGCATGTAGTTTTACATTGAATTGATCCTAACTGTGTTTTCTTTATAGGGCCATATGGAAGGAGAGGTGTGGGGTTTGGCTACACATCCTTATCTGCCCATTTGTGCTACTGTAAGTGATGATAAAACCTTAAGAATATGGGATCTCTCACCTAGTCATTGTATGTTGGCTGTCCGGAAACTAAGAACCGGTAAGAGGCTCTCAGACTTGAGATAGATTAAGTTGTCACAATTTTCTAGCCTTCACAAATATAAGAAACCAATAGTAGATACATAAACACTTTAAGTATTCTGAAATGTTTACTCAATATCTACTTCCTCATGAAGCTACATAAACAGAATTAATTATACACAGTCTTTATGGGTCCTCCCATGATCATGCCTAGACTGAGCCAATTTTCAATGACATCTTGGAAGAAAGACTATAGGAAGTAAAGAGAAACTCAGTTTTTCTCCCTTTGTGATTATGAGTTATACATAATTCACAGCTGGAAACTAAGATGGCTTTAACTTTAAAAGAGATAGAAGTGGGCAAAGGCTGTTTTAGGGTGAATCAGAATTAAGAACACATGTAGGAGGCAGATGAGGCTGTTAGTAAAGCAAAGTTACTATTAACCTAGGGAAAATGAAGCTATACAGACAGCTATGAATTTCTTAACAAAATAGGAATCTTATAAAGTCAGGGGGTCTGACAGGAGGAATTCCAGTTGGGCATGTTGAGAACAGTTGCTGTAAAAAATGAGATATAGTCAACAAATGAGGCAAAGGAGTAAAGACCAGAGTAAAGGGCAACTTGAAATTAAGTAACATGAATGTGTAATTCATTCAGTTATTTTTGTTTTACATCTTTCAATTGACCTAAAATGTAGAATTTATTCTCTTTTAGGATTACTGTTCAGTATTTAACATGTACACTTAAAATTTTTTGAAGTTAATCTCAATCCATAGACTACTTGAACACTTGAATTCTGCTCACTGCTTCCCCCGTTTTTAGTTATTGGTGCCCAGCATTTT